CAGGTCAGTAATCAAATGGTGAGTAATCAAATCAAATATATCTCTCTTTGATATCTACCTGGAATGAAAATCATAATGGTAAAACATACACAATGCTTGCTAAAAGCTGGGAATTTTCAGGTATGTATAACGGTAGAGAGAGGTATCAGTAGAGTCATTACCCAGAGTTAACATTCGTAATTTCTCTTTTCCATTCCAAATAATATGTTTTTAATATAAGAGAAAATAGTGACAAGAGAATTTTAAATTTTAAAACTGCATATATTTATTTGGTAGGACTGTACATGTGTATTATGAATGGTGTGTGGAGGTCAGAGGACAATTTTCCGGAGTCAGTTCTCTCCTTCCACCATGTAGGTCCCAGGGAGTAAAACTTAGGTCACTGAATTTGGCAGCAAGCACTTTTACCTGCTGAGCCATCTTGTCAGCCCAAGATTTCTATGAATAGCAATTAATACACAGATACATGTATATCTATTGATTTTAAGGCTTCATTCATTATATTTGGCTGTTTTCTCATGTATAAACTGTTCACCTAGAGCAGAGGTTCTCAACCTGTGGGTCTCAGCCCCTTTCACAGGGGCTGTATAGCAGATATTTACATTAAGATTAATGACAGTAGCAAAATTACAGTTATGAAGTACAATAAAAATAATGCTATGTTTGGGTGTCACCACAGCATGAAGAACTCTATTAAAAGGTCACAGCCATAGAAAGGTTGAGAACCACTGGTCTAGAACAGCTAACACTTGCCTTTCTTTTCTTTCTTTCTTTCTTTCTTTCTTTCTTTCTTTCTTTCTTTCTTTTTTTTTGGTTATAAATTTACTGATTTTTAAAAAAGATTTAAATTTTTTCTCAATCTGCTTTATACCATTTTAATTACATGCAAATATTAAGGATAGTTCTAGGTTGAGTAACTAGCAATACAATAGATGCAAATAGTCAAGGAACAAGCAAGACAATAAACACAAATAGTCAAAGAACAAGCAAGGCAATAAACAAAATCTCATGATCACTCTTGTGATCACTGTTTATAAGAGCTTATCAGGATGAACTAAATATCTGACCCTACTTCCCTGTCCTAGCCCAAAGTCATTTTTATGCCTGAAGTCTACTTCTTTGTTCTAGCCTAAGATTTAGATTCCTGCCTGAAATTATTTCTCTGTTCTAGCCTAATGTCAGATTTCTGTCTGAAATTACTTCTTTGTTCTAGCCTAAGGTCAGATTCCTGCCAAGCAGCCCATTTCCTTGTCCTTGACCAGTAACACTTGCCTTTCTTATTCTAAGGATGTTTTAAACTAAAACCAGACAACTGTCAATTATACACATCACAACACACACATGCATTACCATATACATATATGTTCATGGATAAGAACTTTTCAAAAGTCTGGCTGCAGTACAGAGATTATATCCAGTATTAATTTCTTAGTATCATCTAATATTTATGCCACATTAAATTATTTTAAAATCCTTTTAAAGTTGGTTTGTTCAAATTTATATCCAAATACTGGATTGTTAAAATTTAGGTCTCCAGTTACTAGGCTCACTTCCATGTCTTTATTTGAGTCTCATTTTGGTGATGTAGGGAATGGAGGCTGTGCTGGCCAGGTCCTCTGCCACTGGAATCCATAGCCCCCCCCCCTTTTTTGGCTTTCTTTCCTTTAAGGTCACTCTTGGTGAATAGATTAGGCCACTTGTCTTAAGAAATTAATATACTTCAATACCTTGTATCTTGCTGATCAATCCACCTAGTATCTTTTAATATCTTCCTCTATCAGCAGAATTATTATCATTACTATTATTATTATTATCATTATTATTACTACTACTGATTTAGAAACAGACATTTAGGTTCAAGTTCAAACCACAAACTGGGGCAAGAAGATCTCATAGTCCAACAACATGTTAAAAAAGAAATGAACACTTAAGCGTCTCACTTTTATTGGCACTGAGAAGATCTGTGGGCTCAGACAGTGTCAGCCTCAGCCACCGTCTCTAGCTTCCCCAGCATCCGTCCATCAGTTGTTTTAACAAACACAGGTGATCAGTACCTAGAAACTGTTATTTCAGTTAAGCATTACAAAATTATTTTTTAAGTTCTTATTTATTTAGGTTTATGTGGATGAGTGTTGTAAGTGTGTGTATAAGTATGTGTGAGCACAATGGGCTTGCCTGGAGCAGGTGGAGGACGGGAGAGAAGGGTGGATCCTTTGGAACTAGAGTTACAGACAGTTTTGAGCTGCCATAGGAATACCAAAACCCAGGTCCTCTGCAAAAACACTAAGTTCTCTTAACCACTGAGCCATCTCTCCACCCCCTTGTTACTTGCAGACGTCTGGTCTACTAACCTACTAACCATTTTGAATGGTACACATTTTACGTAATACGCTTGCCTTCAAATGCTTTCATAGTATTTTTTGAATTTGTGAATGGCAGGACTTGGTCTCCTGGGGCACCTGTACCGTGCTGTTTGAACATCCATCTTTGTGGTGATAAGATGCAGGTGGTTCCAGTGGGCATTTTGAACCATTCACATCCCGAACAGTATTCTGAATACAGAAAGCACATAATGAGTGTGCCAAGTGCTTCGACTAAGAGCATATTCAGATGTAGAACCACTCACACAGGCAAGCAAAAGCAGCTAGATTCCAAAATGAAACACACACGTCCATGTGATACCACAGATTTATTATAGCACAGAGAACAAATCCAACTTCTCACAACTTCCAGTCATTAAAAAGTGAACAGAAATAAGAGCTAGCCAAGGGATACAATCTCATAATTTCCCAAACTATGAAACAATGTAGTATACTCAAATTAGAATTCTCATTAAGTATGAAGACAGAGAGTCCTAATACCCCATAGATAATTAAAATTTTGTATTTATAACATATATGTATATATATATATATTGGACCTCAAGGACTCATAGAACTTTTATAATAAACTATACTTAATAGCTGTTTGTTTATTAGGCAAGCTAATGTAAAGGCAATAAAGTCCTGAAAAGTAGGGAAACCCCATTAGAAACTCTGCTTAACCGACACTGAACACTGCCCACACAAATCCTACAACCAGTGACACTCAATTTGCTCCACGGATACTTATGTGGGGGACACTGTGAACTTTGATCTGTTTCCATATAACATTTCACCTCCCTGCCTTCATTCATATAGTTAAAAATGTGGTATGTCACAGTGTTGCTCTTAGTCCGTAGGCATATCAAATATGTTAAATACTTGGAGGGGGGAGAAGAAGGTGTGTAGAAGAGGAGAGGAAATAAATAAAGTCTCCTGTCTTATTCTCTACTTTCAGTTCCTTTGGGTCTTTGCCCTACTTGAGTCTTTGGGAATTGCTTGTGTATGAGACAGCATCTACCATTCCATCCGATCTTAACCCAGGCTGGACACACAGAGTCAAGATAGGAAAACTTGGATCCCTGAGACCTTCACAGTGACTGACTAGCACAGCTGCTCCCTTCAGCTTGGCTTGTCTGTTACTTTTTTTTTTTTTAAGTATGAAAAGCTTCCTATTATCCTCTGCTTTTCATTGTAAGCAAGTGGAGTCACTAAAGGCCACTTGATGGCAAATAACTTTATAAACTGAGTGAATTCGAAAACAGAGTAATGGATCAGGAGAGGGCAGGCAAAACTCGAGAGTTTACAGTCCACGAGGACTCTGGCTTTGTAGAAAAGTGAGCAACACTGTGTGGCGAACATGACCAAGGCCATCTGTGCTGATTTTGAAGTTGTTCACACATAGATAGTTCTTCAAAGAGGAAAAGGAAATAACATTGACAGCTTCACAAATGTCCAAGTATTGCTAAGTTGTTCTGGTTCACCCGCAAGAAGAAGGACATTTTAGAAAGTAGCATTTTTAAAGGTGTGGGGGAGATGCCACATGAATTTCAGCCCTTCACAATATGGCTTATAAGTCTGAAGAAATAGAAATCCTGGCTAATTTATGATTCTGGAACATAGCTCTTCATGCAGTGTATCTGCAACACTATGTATAATACACAATCATAATGTAGTGTCTTTATCTCTCAAAATCTAACAACCCTTGTTTATGTAACCAAATATTGCCTCTGATATTCTGCACCGCCCAACTCCAGTTGCTTCAAAAGCCCTTTTGCACAGTAGAGATTCAAAAATTAATATGTGACTCAAAAGCATCTGAGGTAAGTCAATCACATGAACACTTAGATATCTAGCCAATACATACTTTGGCAAAACAATCCCTTAAACCATGACATATCAGAGAGTGGCATTATACTACAACAGATCATACCTTTCCTCACTGAATTCCATAGCATATTTTTTTTTAATTGACACATCCCTCTTTTCAGATACGCACCAAGTTAATTGTAGAATCATCATTAGCAAAGCATTCATTCAACTGTTGACACAAATGATCTTCTTTGCAACATAAAGTTACCTTCACCTTAGGGTCACAGGCATCAGTGCAGATATGGAAGCATCACTGCCTCTAACAGCTTGTACACGGGTTGGGAGGAAGTCTTGTGGGCAGATCTTGTGGCAAGGACCCAGAAGACCATTCTAACTTACCATTAACAATTTAGAATGATAGCTTATCAAAAATCCACATAGACTTTACCTGTGTTAGCACTTTAGAACTGAGCTCTAGAATGAATGTATTGTCTTCTGAGTATAAGGGATGAGTGACAGACAGAACCCAGCATCAAGGGTTTCCACACCAAGCAGGAGGAATCTATTGTACTCTGTGGACCTCTGTTCATATTCAAAATAGCTTGTATTTTTCATCATTTCTCGAGTTCCTAGAAGAGCACTATATCACTTCATATCCTCCTCTCAATGTAGCAAGATGTATTAAGACCTCTGATTGGTTTGAAAGGCAACAGGAAACCTCCTGGCTGTTCCAGACTCTTCCCCTGAGAAGACTTATGTGGGAGCTTTGGACTCTCAGAGATCAGAAACCCAAATAACTTATCATAAAAAATACAAGCTCTTGGTTTTGAAAAATATACAAAATGCACTGCATAGGCAAGTATGTCTTGATTGTCAAGGAAGGCAAGGTATCATCAGTCTCCATTGTAAATCCAGGCTGCGTTTGTGTTTTAGTGGCGCTTGCTTTTGCAATTCCCATTTTCTATAGTTTTGGGCAACCTCTGACCCTTGGTGTAAGCACGATACCAAAAGTGGAGAAAGAGCACCAGGAAGATGCATCCGTAACTCATGATGATGTACAGGAAAACTGGATACTGGTAATTACAGTCCTCCATGAAGAAGATCTGGCCTATGTGGACAGTGACAAGAACAAACTGGACCTGAGAGATGGGAGAATGATAAAGAAATTAGCTATGAAAAGACCAACACAGGTTGATGAGTTCTTCAGCCATACCTAAGTTACTACTAGGCAGGGCAGGATGTCTTCCTATATGTTCTCTCTAGGAGTGAGAATAGGTTAGGTACAGTGTCAAATTTAGACGGGGGTTTGGAACCAATATTAGGTGCTAACACTGCACAACCCCAGCAGATCCTACATAAATGTTACCTGGAAGGTACTGTGTGGTAACATACATCCTTCTCAGGCATCTAGCAAGCAGCTATTTATTTGATTGGTTGTTTTCTTAGGGGGGGGCAGTCTCAAGGACTGTAGTCCTTGGTTCTGATGAAGTGTTTTGGGGATCACTACACTGTGACTTAATTTTCCAGGGCAATCTTGATTTCCAACATTTTGTTCTCAGAGACGAAGCATTGTAAGTTCTAGAAGACACTACCGTCCAAATTAGAGCCTTTTTAGTTTTGATGGAGCCAAAAGATGTCCTTAGAGCTGCTACGAGTGTTTCATCACCATAGATCCAAACTGTCCCTTGAAGGAGTTGGGTGTGGTGAGACACACCTGTACCTCAGCTACCTGAAAGGCCGAGGTGGGAGAATCATTTAAGCTCATGATTTGAGATCAGCTGGGCAGCACAGTGAGATTTCACCTCCAAGAAAAGAAAAAGACAGAGGAAGAAGGCCTAGCTGTCAAGAAGACATAGGAGAGGGAGGACACTGGTTGGCTTCCCAAGGATGTTCAAAGTCTCTGTGGACTGGAAGAGTCTTTGTGCTCATAATAAGGAGAATTTCTATGTTAGTGTTTAGACATTCCTTAGTATCTTTCTTTGATACTTGTTTTGTAGAGAGAAGATATACATAAGCCATTGCATGTCTGTGCCCGCTGGGTTGTTCTATCCTTCCACTGTGTGGGTCTCAAAGGTCAAACCCAAGTCATCAGGTTTGGTGGGAAACCGTCTCACTGCCCCCTCCCACTTCAGACCTGTTTATACCTGATTTAAAGTCAGTTATATCCTGGGGAACTTTTAGAAAAATCTTTATAAAGAAACAGTATCTAGGGCTGGAGAGATGGCTCAGTGGTTAAGAGCACTGACTGCTCTTCAAGAGGTCATGAGTTCAAATCCCAGCAACCACATGGTGGCTCACAACCATCTACAAAGAGCTCTGATTCCCTCATATGGGTGTCTGAAGACAGCTACAGTGTACTTACATATAATAAATAAATAAATAAAGTTTAAAAAAAAAAAAAAAGAAACAGTATCTATGATTGAATCTTTACATTATGTCTTATAATATGAGTATTATTAGTGTCATCTTTCACTACAATAACCTAATGAACAACCATGGCTGCCCTGTCCAGCAGCTGCACCGACTCCCTTCATTTTGCAAGGGGATGATGAAACCTTGGAAAGGTGAAGCAGAGTCCTCTGCACACAGGAGTGCTTGAGAAAGGTGGCAAACAGATGTCTAGCCTTCGTTTTTATGTACACATCTTTCCACTGTATTGAAAGTCTTTTGTTTTCTGAAACAAAGTCCTATGTGGTACTGGCTGGCTTCATTCTTGTTACGTAGCTGTGCATGACCTTCAACTCCTGATCCTCCTGTTTCGGCTTCCCAAAGGTTGGCTCTGCTGGTGTGCACAAGTATACCTGGCTCACTTCATTTAAAAAGTGTCAACATTTGTTAGATGAAAATAAACTAATAAAATAAGATTATGTATGCAGTAATATGAAGCATATTGTACATGCATACACAAGTGTAAGGGGAAAAGCTGAATGAAAACAAAAAGAATAACTATTACCCCAGAGAGAGGGGTGTTTTTATTGATTGATTTATTTTTCATTTATATGGTACTCGGAACTAAGAAAACTCTCTTACAGTAAGCTGCACCGCAGCCCAGTTTATTTTCCTTCCTCGGGTATTTTAATTTCTCTACAGCAAGCACATATTACTGCACAATGAGAACCATACATTAAGGGAAAGCAGCAATGGAGGATAAAAGCCTTGACTTCACAGTATTCCAGAGTAAGAGGAAAACAAACATATGAATTAAAGTATTCATTTCCGGGCTTCCTCTCCGTTGGTCTTTGGGACTGTTGCCAATTGCAGATACAACAGCTGGTGGGCAGGAGCTCCTCTGGTCTTCCCTGAGGGTCCTGAGAGGCCAATGCACCAGTCTCTCTCTTGGGGGAGAGCCGCTTATAGGCCTACATCCAGTGTTACTTGGTGAGTCCCCAGCAGGCAAGCTATGCCTTAGTCCCACTTTCTCCTTGATCTCACTGGCACCCAATTTACATTATACTTCAACTCAGGAAATATGAAGATTGTAGAATTATTCTAATAGAGGGTAATAAAACTAAAACAGGTCATTTTTTCACCCAGTTTTTTTTTTAAATCACATGTATATTTTTAGATTCTTAGGAGATATTTTTTTGGCCTAAACTATACCTTCCAGTCCTTCAAGCATGGCTGACCTGGAAGCAAATATCCACTCTGCATAGTCCACCTGTCTTATGTTACTTCATACCTGGAATTCTCTCAACAATATTTACTTAGGAGTAGAAAGACAAACTGACCAAAGTTAGGACTAACCAGGTAAGCACACAGAAACGCCCTCAATTCCTTCCACATTACGGTCCTTCAATGTTGATTCTGAATGTGAACTTTCTAACTTGTACTTCAGTATTACTCTGTTTTATGCTATGGTCATATAACTTTGATATCATTTTGATTACAAACTTTTTTTGTTTTCTGGGTTCTTTTTTTGTCTCAGATCATTGTGAAGATAAAGACGCTGGCTTAATCATTTGAGAATCTGAGCTACCAAATCTATTTTCTTTTTAGCCGACATAGTTTCTCATAAAGTTCAAAGATCAACAAAACCAGCATCCCTTCTAGAGGACAGGTGTTATATATACAGACTGCTCTGGGTTCTTCTAGACTCCTAACTCACAGACAGACAGTCAGACACGTGACTGTGATCACAGTTTTGTTTCATATTTAAAGAAAACTGGTTACTCACAAGCTGCAAAGATGTCAAATGTTTTTTCCACCATAAATACTTCTGGTAGGCTGGTCCCATTGCACACAGTCCATAGTAGGAGTACATGACCACGTGCACAGCTGTATTTAAAAAGGCATGGAAAGTTCCCAAACCACCTGAGAGAAAAGAAGTTATTGTAAAACCACCTCTCGTCTCTTAAAACCACACATATTTGTCCTAAGGTTTTGGTACCATCTCTTTCTCTCATTTTAGTAGGAAGAAGAAAAATACATAAGAAATATCAGTTCTGTGAAACAGCCCTCAAACTAGGAGTTCAGTAAAATGTTAGCAAAATGCCAACCATAAATCTTACAAAATAAATTAGCCTGTCATTTTTTCGTATGCTTTAAGCTTAAAATGTGACTGTGATTTGAGTTTAAACAAACTAGATCAACCTCTTAAATATGCTACATTGCTTGCCAACAATCAAAATGTGTTTTTAGTCAAGGTTAAGAGTTATAAGGTGAACAAATGACATTGATCTTAAATGCATAAGTTAAGATGCTTCACATGCTCAAAACCTACCAATTTCCATAACCACCACCAAAATAAAGATAACGAATACTCAACACCACCAAGGCCTCCTCCTACTGCTGCATGAATACATCCCTCCAAGGTGACCTTTAGCCGAGTTCCATCATCAACTCTTAATTTTGCCTGTTAATCCATTTCACAGAGATGGGGCCACATGGCATGGACTCTTTTATCCCTCCTTCCTTTTCATACAACACGGTATCTTTGAGTTCCTTGCATGTCGGTGTATACACTAATAATTTGTCTTTTTCCTGTCGTTCAGCTTCATGTCATATAAATGCACCAATATTTATCCATTCTCCTGTTGAAAGACAGCTGGGTTGCTTCCAATGTGGCCTCTCATGTGTAAAGCTACCAACATAATCACTGTGTGGAATCAAATTACACCCCCACACTCTCAATCCAGTGCTTTAGATATTTTTAATGCAGCAAACGCTCTGTCGGGAAAGCACTGGAAGTCATTAGGAAGCTATGCTAAGTCTGCTCTAATCAATTACTGTGATTTCAAAATAAATAGTGATCGGCTATTAAGCCTGCTTTTTATCATCCTACTCCTATTTGATTATGCTTACTCTTTTAATTTTGCCATCTTTAATTAGGAGAAGAAGCACAAGACTCGAGAATGTAAGAAAAGGTCATTTCAGTTGCCTTCAGCCATAACAGTTGTTGGTGGAAGGGTTTCTGTCCTAAGATGCTCAACTTAGAGAAATCTGCTTTATGCAAGGTATTGACCTAGGATTTAAGTTTTTCTACAAAAATAAAACAAACCCTATAAAACTCAAAAGTCATCTCCTTAATTCTAGAACACTTTGATTCCAGAAATAACCTAAGGCAGAACAGGTGCAAAGTAGAATGAATTAATTATTTTACGTAAATTCATTTGTAGGGTGGGGAGGTGAGCATGAATTTGCATGTATGTACTTGTGTGCCCCCGCACACATGTGGAAGTCAGAGGACAACAGTCGGCAGTTGCTTCTCTCCTTCTATCACATGGTTTTCTGGGAATCCAACTTGGGTCATCAGCCTTGGCCTTGGAGGCAAGCGACTTTGCCAACTGAGCCATTATTCTAAAATAACTCTTCATAATTGTGGTGATTCTGAATGTTTCTAGATATTGTAATTGCTAAAGTATTCCCGTCAAAGAACACACTTTAAATAATTAGGTCCTACTCAGCCAAAGCCTCATGCTAGCCTTTACTTTATAGATTTTAATCAAATCGCAGTTAATTCCTTAATTATTACAAATTTCAGAAGCAATACCATTAATGAAGCATGTTACTACCCTTTCATCTTTTATTGTTTATACTTGGATTAATCTTTCCACCACCACCCCCAACAAATATAAATAAATTATAAGATGGGGGACATCCTTTTTAGGATAACTAAAAAATTGAGTAGCTCCCTGTTCCTATAATAGCTCAAGAATCAGGCTGATTCCTGGAAGGGTAAGGGTAAGGGACAACTGTGCATGTTCCCTTGTGCCCAGTGAGAACGCAGACAGGAAGTGCAGCTCAATTTTCATAAGGGCCTGTATCAGAGCCTTGTTCACTAAGAAGCCATTTTCTCTACATTACCCTTGTCATTTAAATAAGTGGTTCTCAACCTGTGGGTCAAAAGCCCATGGGGGTTACCAACCCTTTTACATGGTTGCCTAAGACCATCCTGGATATCAGACATTTACATTATGACCCATAGTAATGGTCACAGTAGCAAAATTAGTTATGAGGTAGCAAACAAAAATGATTTTATGAATTATTTATGAAAATAATTCCAGCACAACCTGAGGATCTGTGTTAAAGGGTCGCAGCATTAGAAAGGTTGAGAACCACTGCTCTCGATGTCCTAACCTGAGGATCCTGTATGGCGTTAGTATGACTGTTGCTAAGAAGATTGTGTTAAAGAATCACTGAGCAAACGAAGCTGCCAAATGAAATTAGCTTGCTTATTTTCTCTACCAATTGCCTTTTGACATATTCCTCTAGTGAGTTTGCTTGTAAAGCAAGCACATTTTAATCAGTCATGCTTTCTGCTTTACTCTTTGGAAGGCCTTTCAAATGAAGCAAAGCTTTCTTTACAAGAAGGGGCCTGAAAAGAAAGCATCTCAGGATGAGATACAAGTCCATCCCTCACATATTACCTTTTGATATATTATCTTTTGGTTTGGAGAAAAGAAAAGAAGCACCTGGGTAATTATGACAGTTCTCTACATTTCTCAGTGAGGGTATTTACAGAATTAATAGAAAAACCTAATATGAAAATATTCTTCTCTTATTCAAAGGAAAAGCTCCATTGCTATTACCCCATAAGGAGGCACAGGATGCAACAGGAAACCAGACAATAGAGATCATCTGGGCTCTAGTGTTTGCAAAGACTGGCTTAAACAGACATGCTTGTTCTAGGAGCTTAGCCCTTGCCAAACCACACTTCTGGAAACAAATCCCGTTGCTGGGCCTGCTGTTGGAAAGCAATGCAAGAGATGTGGGCATGTTGAATAGAATCCCACACCTAAGACAGAGCAGGCCTGGCAGCTCACAGAACATACCAGAGACACAAAACATTCTTTTCTTACCTTGACCATTTTTTTTCTTTTTTTTTTTTTAAGGAAATAAGAATTAAAGCATGAGTAGAAACCACTATGATAAATGTTTGATAACCATAGACATGGACGTTTCAAATCTGAGGTAGATTCTTCTTTGAATCTGCATTTCTTAAAATGATTACTTGCTTTGAAAAGGAAGCTAGATCACCAATGGATTCAAACAAAGGTGGGGAAACCACTCAGTTCCATTTTTTAATAAAATGTATGTTTCCCATAGTGGAATTACCACATACTTAATACAGAAAGATGACAGACCACTGAAAAGAGTAAAGAAGCCAAGGTAAACATGTTGGTTTCGGTATCTTCAAATCATCTGTGTGTATTTTGGAGCGTTGCTTTCCAGTCTATTCTTCCAAAGAACAGCATGGAAGGGAGGTTTCAAAACTCCCTAATGGGAGGCGGGTCTACTACCGCCTGTGGATATTTGAATCTCCTTACAAAAAATGGTCAATTATATGCATATCACCTGTGCACATACCCCCCCCCATATGTTTTATACCAGAAAACTCTGTGCATGTAATGGAAGCAGTTCTGTTCTATGTTGCTTAGGGAATAATCACAGGGAAAATATTGGTACATGACTTAGTACAGGGGCAGGTTTTCCTTTTTGGTTTTGATCTATGGTTCATTAAATCCATGGATGCAGGGCTCACAGATGTGGAAGCCCAACTATATTCTGGTGTTATACAAGAAACAGATGTAAGCTAAAGGGTTTGAGAACACTTTTCCTAGCCTAATAAATAGCAAAGTCGCCATTTTTGTCTGGTAATTAGCAGTCACGGTGCTTAGTGGGGAAGACCACACTGAGGCTTCTCGGCATCACTTTATTTTCCTGCCTTTAAACACACAGAAATCATAACCACCCTATGGGTGTGCGTTGAAACATTTTCCAGTTTTTCATCAATATAAGTAAAACATTAGAACATTTCACTTAGGAGACCTGAGTGGCCCAGTATGCATTTGAGAGAAAACAAACAATAAGAAACTCAGTCAAAACCATAAAGGTTAAATACGGTGGCTATCTGTGACTTCCTGACATCAAGAAAGTAGAATAAATAATTCTTGCAGCAAAGTTTGCTGACCGAGAAATACTCGCTCAAAGGCTTTGTTTACTTCAAGCTTTATGAATGAATAAAATTACTGCCTAATTTTTCTAATTCTGGGTGTTCAGAGATAGAAAACCAAATGAAATAGAATCTTGTGGCCAAGCTTTTGATTAAAACTATCTCGATCCAAAAAAACCAAAAAAACAAAAAAAAAATGAAAGAAATGTCATCTCCTTTGGTAGACTCCTTTGGGAAGTTGAGTAATTGTGATCTGACTCATCTTTAAAGTTGCTGTGGTATTGTGTACCACACCTGTGATGTGGTTTATTCTAGAATGTTCACCTATGTGTTAAAAGTTTTGTCTCCAAAGCAACTGGACTGATAGGGGTAGTGGGCTCCTTAAGAGGTGGATCCCCGTGAGAGGTGATTAAATGGGAACTTTCCCATAAGTCTTTTGTGTCTTGCTATGCCTCCCTGGTTGCTTTCTCTGTTCCTTCGGTTTCTCCCCTCCTTTCTTTGCTCCTTTTCTTCCCTGTTTCTGCTATGATGCCATATTACACTGCTAGACCTGCCCAGAGGCCAAACAGATGGCACTGCCCAATATTAACCTTTCAGCCTCCAAAACCATAAGTTAAGTTATGCAGAAGTCTCTGCTTCGTAAAGTCACCAGCCTCTAGTAATCTGAGGGCGACACAGAATGGACTAAAAAGGCAGGGAGTGTCAGGTATTGGGAACCTGCAGACAAAACAGACCTGGAGATAACATTCTGACTTTCTGTGAACAAACTAGGAATGTCATTTAAGTAAGATATCTATGAATCCAAGGCTTTGGATATTTTATTTATTTGTTTATTACCTATTTAATTGAAAGCATGCACTAGAACTCACTATAGAGAAACAATAAACCCTGAACGAAACTAAAGAATATGTAGAGAAGGTCTCGCTCTAAAGTCTTCATGTCAGAAAAGCTGGCGTGTGGAGTCTAAACTAAGAGAGTCCTTTGCTTCTGTTTCAGGTGATTACTTCAAATTTTTTTTAACCAAAGTGGCTCTTTGAATTAAAAAAAAAATCTCATAAAGTATACCTAAGAACAAAATTTGTATTGATAGCATGTGAAAATGTCATCATATGTAGATCGCATGAATCTGGGAATGTCGCCATCTATAGATCACATGACCCCGGCTCTCCCTTTCCTACCTGCAGCAAACTTGACTCCAAACCACCAGGTCCATGGCATAATCGTATGATGGAAGACATGAAGGAAAGTCACTTGGCTATTTTTCTTACGCAGAACAAAAAAGATCTGAAATAGTTTAAAGAAAGTCAAGTTCGGAAAACCCATGCATTAATTTATTGAGTGTTAAAAAAAGAAGCAGCAAAACGGAAACAGTTTCACAATTTGCTCCCAGCGGCTGCTCTTAAGGTGTGCTGAGAGGAGCTGGTACTCCAGAGCACAGCTTGAAGGAAGTGCTATTGATAAATAATAGTATTAACTAAAAAAAGAACTCGTTAGATTTTGAAATATGTGTCAGCCTGAAGTTCGTAACTCTTATGACTGAAATTATTTCAATCTACATTGCTCTCCAACACATCCTCCCAGTTTGGATAAGGGATTAGGCAAACTAAAAGCCGACTTGGGAAAACAAAACAAAACAAAACAAAAAGCCTAAGGATGTATTACCAAAGAAAAACAAATGATGAAACGCCTGAAGAGTTCATCTGAAAAATATTGCAGACAAGAAAGCGAAGCTGCGTAAGAAAAATGAGAACGGTAGCAAATGTACCATCGCGACTGCGCATGCCCGTTATTAGCTTGCTAAGAGCAGAGTTGGGGGGTGGGGTGGGAGCGCTGTTCAAAGAATGTGCTAACAGAAAACTTCACAATGCCAGAGTTAAGTTAGGCTTCCAAATTCAGGGCATAACACAAAGCATTACTGTGTAAGGGAAATTCGGCAAGGACACACAGCAGAAACAATTTCCTTATGGAAGTTGCTACTGAGAATATGCAAAGCAGAGCCGATGAAGCCACGCGCATTTGCTTATCCACACAGAATAACGCAGCCTGGTGTAGCAGCAGGACCATAAACTTGCAACAGGGGTCCTACCGCAACTGTCTCTGGGTAGGCCACTTAACATCGGTCGTCCCCCACCCCCATCCCCTAGTAAGGGTTCTGAGCTAAATCAATGGTTTCCCAAACCTGGCTGCATGTTACAATGTGAACAAATAGTTTAAAAACACACAAGTGTGGTCTCTACTCCTGTCTGTCAGGCGTCAAATCTCAAGAGGTGGGGAATGTGTGTACGGTTCCATTCCGACTGCACGTAATTGTAATGCACCGTGGATGCTGAGTTTATGGCAAGCAGCTTCTCGACGTGCAGTTCCCGAATAAAAATAAGCAACATTAACGACATGAGAGAGTGTCAGAAAAAGGAATTCCTGCACTTCACCAAGGACCAACTGAATCCAAAGCACGAGGGAAGTGGTTCTCAACCTGTAGGTCATGAACCCTTTGGGAGTTGCCTAAGACCATCAGAAAACATGGGTATGTCCATTAAGATTTGTCACAGTGGAAAACTGACAGTTATGAAGTAGCAAGGAAAATTATGTTATGGTTGGAGGTCACCACAACTTGAAGAACTGTATTAAAGGGTTAGGAAAGTTGAGAATCAGTGACCACGGGAGTTCAGGCATCATCTGTGCTTTAACAAGCCCTCCGTGTTTTGTTCTGTTGTTTCTTTGTTCGTTTTTCCATCTTCTCTCCTTTTTAAAGACATGCTACTGTTTTGTAGCCCAGATTGGGCTCACACTTGGGGTCCACCTCAACCTCCTGGGATTCTTCTAGGTGTTTTTAATGCATGCTAAAATTTGAGAAGCCCTGGATTCTAAACCTTTCCCAGGTCCCTTTTCAACCTAACATTATGTGATTAGAGTGAACTTAGAGAGAAGCATGTTAATATTACAGTGTGGTGCTGTGTGCTCCAGACACACTCGTCAGAAAAACCAGCATCTTGGCCAGCAAGTAGTTAAGGCTCTTAGCTTTAGGCTTTCAGAGAGCCCAGCTGGCCCTCCCCAGGATGCAAAGCAGGGAGAACGAGGGTCCAGAAAGCTCAGGCTTCAGGATGATGTGTGTGTTTCCCCCAATTACTGACAACCCTCAGATAGCATCACATTTGCTATGAGTTTATGAACTGTGATTCGCTTAAGTGTCTCACAGGAGTACTTTGACACTGTGTTTAGGTACAAAGAACCAAAGGTAACGATGTCTGCTCTTTGCTTTGTGAACCGCTTCATAAAGAACTGACATCATCTGTTTCGAGGCACACAGATCTGTAGAGTAAGTGGCAGTTACCTGTTTATCTTCATCAGGAGATACCTACACATATGGTTTTTTCAAAATGCAGTCAGAGGTTGTGAAATGCTGGCAAGTAGATTTTTCTAAAAGCCCAGACAATTAAAGGAAATGGGGGATGACAGCAGGCAAGCGGGGGTGGGGGTGGGGGGGAGAAGAGATAAGCAAAGGTATTCGCTATTCGACAACTGCATTAGCAGTTTATTGCTTCCGTGAGACATCAAGCAGTTACTAAATGTGTGGGTTGCATACTCACAGTGTCTAACAGCTCAATAAATTTGGAGAAGTAATAAAGCCAGCAGGTGTGCACCATCTGTGGAGATAAACACAGATAAGGATTTATTTATTCAGTATTTTATAGGAAAGAAACATTTACTTTTTTAAAAAATGGTTTTAAAAACACATAGCACACACACACACACACACACACACACACAAAGGCCGATCATGGTAGTGTACGTCTTTAATCCCAGCACTGGGGAGGCAGAGGCAGATAGATCTCTTTGAGTTTGAAGCCAGTTTGGTCTACAAAGTGAGTCCAGGATATCCAGAGCTATTATACTGAGAAACCCTGTCTCGAAAAACAAAACAAAACAAAACAAACATAAACCAACAAAACCCCCACATAACAAAATTTACCATCCTACCCACTTTTTTAAAGGTACACTTTTGTGGCTTTCATTTATCCACATCCCTCTATAACCATTACATATCCATCCGCAAAACTCCTCCGACTTGAAAAAGTGAAAATCTATACTCATTCAAAATTAATTTCCCATTCCCTTCTTCCAGCCCAACCATCCTTCTATCTCTGTCCTCTGCACATAATGATTTTGGGTACCATATATAAGCTGAATCATGTAGCGTTTGTCCTTTTGTGACTGGAATATACTACTTAGCACATTGTCCTCAAGAGTCATAGAAGTTGCAACTTTTATAGGCTGAATAATATTCTACACATGTGTGTGTGTGCGTGTATGTGTGCATGTGCGTGTGTGTATGTGATTTTGTTTAGCCATTTACCATCTATGAACATTTTGGTTGCTTCTACATTTTGGTCATCATAAATAACCGTGTTGTGATCTTGAGTATACAGATATCTCTTGACATCCCAGACTTCAAATATTTTAGGAATACAGCCAGAAGTGGAATTGCTAAATCTCATGAAAATTCTATTTTCCATCTTTTAGAGATCAGGTAAGTTTTGAAACCCAAGAAGTTCAAACAGTACTAGCTGTCAGCTTGCACACCTGGATTCCTTACATTCTTTCTTGTAATTTTAGATTTTTTCCTCCCAACTCACATAATCTTATTATTGAATCATTCACTCACCTGATTCATATCCAATATTGCAGAGGCCAAAAGATTTTCACAATGATTTTTGAGCTACAGACTTTCCCAAAGAGAAACTTACCCTCATTGCTCTTGGCGACTGAGAATAGTCAACAAGGTCACATCGAAACGAGTAACCTGTACCCCAGCCAGACATCACAAACTGGAAGAGAAACACGGATATTAAAGAGGCGGTTTGGACTGCACCTTGGTGCATGACCAGCTGAGTAAGCAGGCGGTGCAGGGGATGAAGCAGCAAGAACCAGGACAAACCAAACATGCTTTGGGAAGAAGCTTAGCATCAGGCATTCTCAAAGCCACAAGCACACACAACATTAATACGAACTGTATTCTGACTAACTTGTGCGCTTCTTGGAAGGATTCCTTTAAAACAGTGAAGAACAAAAGCCAGGGTTTATTCTGTTTAGTTACCGAATATTGCCTATGTCTATTACGTATGTGTGTTCATGTACTTTCAGTGCCTGGCTCTGAGTCTGGATTTTCTGAACATTTCAACTCTTCCCAATTAGTCAATAAGTGTTACACAAACGAAAACCCGCCAACAGGGTAACCGTGGGCACTGTGCTTTTCCTACTCATGACTGGCAAGTATCCATGAAGGGGCAGTGCTTGGCTCTGATACCCTCTCTGCCTTTAACATATAAACAGACCATACACAGGTCTGATACCAGCTGTATTTTGAATTCACAAGACAAATAAGGGAAGACAATGCTTTTGTTACTAACTGGAGTATAATCTGGCAGACTGTCATTCCAACACACCCACCAAATGACCTTCTCCGGGTGTTAAAAATAAAAGCCTATTGTTGGTGAGTCTGAATTCTAATTCCAAGGCCCTAGTGACATTCTTTTAGTTTGATGGTGGGAAAAGCTTTTAAAACAGCTACAAATGAAAGCCAAGTACTTGATTTTAATACATACAATTGGGCTGACCTGGGGTAGCTACAAAAACATTCTCTTCTTTGCCAAGTGTTACTTCTTCCTCTGCAGTTGCCAACATCTGGCTTGGAACATCTCTCTCACTATAAGGTTTATGCTACTTTTAGCTTCTGAAGCAAATGTTATATTTATAGTTTCATCACTATTTAGCTAAAGTGATAACTTTCTAATATAAGAACACACAGTTAAAGGCTTTATTGAGGCTTCTGTATGTTGATTTTTTTTTTTTTTGAGACTGGGTTTTACTATGTAGCCCAGGCTGGCCTCAAATTCATGACTCTATTGTCTTAGCCTCCCTAAGGGATTCGATAACAGTTCTCTGCCATCAGAGATCAGCCAAAATGATATTTAAATATGTATAAAGAAGGAAGGAGTGGGAAAGAACAAGAGGTGGTTTTTAAAATGCACCCCATCTCTGTTCTCACTCCTACTGTGCAATATAACATAACATAAGCTCTGGAGATGCCATGAGATCTTGAACATTAAGACTCAGAACAGTATAGGATATGCATTTCATGGTTTAAAAAATGCCTTAGAAATCAAGTCAACAGATCTTTTCAAAGAAACAAAGGAATGTGACAGAAACAGTGAATTCTGTTTCTCAAAATCGCCAAGTCAGTGAACTATGCCATTTTCTGCTATGCTCAGACTCACTTCAACTGATAGAAATAACACTAGCCAAGCAGTTCTCAGCCAGTGGGTCACAACTCCCTTGGGAATTGAATGACCCTTTCACAGTGGTCAAATATCAGATAGCCTGCATATCGGGTATCTTACATTATGATTCGTAACAGCAGCAAAACTATAGTTATGAAGTAGCAATGAAATAATTTTACGGTTGGGAGTCACCACTACGTGAAGAACTGCATTAAAGGGTGGCAGCATTAGGAAGGCTGAGACCCACTGCTTTAACACCAGAACAGGTTAAATTAAAGTAGATGACTAATTGGTCACCTTACCCTGACACCAAAAAGGCCTGTACTAAATGAGAGAAATTGTGTGTCTAGGCCCTCTGTGGGCCTCACTCGCTCCATCTTCTTTAGGGTCTGACTTGTGCCATGTTTCTAGCAAAGTCAATCACAAGAAGACAGATGGATTCTTCACTATGGCATGGTTCACTTTCTCCTCGCTCCTATATTTGGCCAAACACGCCTGGCAGAGGCATTTCCTCTGAAACCCTGACAAAATCTTGCACCACATCGTGAGCGGGGCCAGTGTGTATAACCTCTGAATTATCAAGTCTCTATCCAAACAGAGTGGGCCGAGCATTATCCTAGTGTTGACTTTAAGAACATACCAATAATCTCCGGAGGCTATGGCAGTTATTAGCTTTAAGCTAGTAAAGAAAAAGTTCGTGGTTCATGTTCAGCAGGCAGTATATCCTGAAACTACAACTCAGGTATTAGTGACGATAGGAACTCTCTGATTCTGATTTTTTTTTTAAACCCTCTTCTGTGCTGTAATTCACAAAGCAGAAACCAAAACTAACTGGTTACTACTAGATTCTTTTCAAGCCTGAGAAACATAATTTGGGGTCATAGGAAACAAGGACAACTGTCAGAGACAGAACCTGAGAAAACTAGAATACAATAGGACGCGAAAGGAAAAAAACTGGCTCAATCCTGTCATTACAGCATAAGATAAATGAAGCCTAGGGATATCAAGTTACAGGTAAGAAGAGGGAGCCTGGGCTCCTGCTTCCGACCATGTTCTTAACCCCTCTCATGTGTATATATATTCTCTCTCTCTCTCTCTCTCTCTCTCTCTCTCCCTCCTCCTCCTCCCCCAGAACATGTGAGGAGCCCATCCATAGTCTAGAAAGGACAAAGAGCAGTGACCTGTGGGTTAGTCCTACAAACGAAGAAGTGGCCAGCAGCAGAGGGGAGCTAGAGTCACGTAATGTGCAGCAGGAAGGAGGTGGGTGTCACAGTGGCCAGCAAGACCACCAGGACTCCTCACAGACCCCCAGGATGAGCAAGCACAAGTATGCTAGAGGGAAAACCAACAGAAGGAGGAAGCCAGCCAAGGCTGGAAATACAGCAAAGGACCCTAGAGAGCCAGGGATTCGAGGCAGCGGAGACACGTGACAAACACGTGACAAGTGCAATCTCTGCTGCGTTCTGGAAGGTTGCTATTCATCTTATAGCAAGGGACAGGGCTTTACCACTTACAACTTGGAATAAGTCTACGCCCTTTTTGGCCTCAAAGCCTGTAAAACCTAAACAGCCAAGTCAGCACCCAGCTCTGGAGTTGTATGCATTCCAGAACCAGCTCTCTACCAACCAGCTATCACTCTGAGTTCATTACTTCTTTTCTCTGCGTAGGAGTTTCCTCAAGACCAACGTTTCTCATGTGCAAATCTCTGAGCTAAATGTTGTTTTCTTTTCACTCGCTATCCATGATGGAAACTGTCCTGAAATCCTCAGGTTTATTTCATCTAGACATAACAATTTTGGTGGTTTTGTTTTGTTGCGGTAAACAACCGCTTAGTTTCTTAATTTCTCCATTCTCAAAACAGGGGTACTTGACAGTCATAACAAAAACATACAAACACATAACAAAAGACTAAGGCAACCTCTTCCCATTAGGAATACTGAAGACACTTGCCTCATAACACATATACACAGAAAACAGTACTATGAAAAAATTGTACGTTATCATCGCTTTCTTGAGTTCAAAGGGCTTCCGGTTCTCCATGAGTTTTGGTCCCAGAGATGTAACAAAATAGACATAGAGCCCCAGGATGATGGTTTGTGGCAGAGGTGAGGACATGAGGAGCCAGTCTTCAACTCTTGGATCTAAGAGAAAGATAACAGATAAGTAAACAACCACTTAGCCCAGAGATAACAGGAAGCGACCTTTATCTCAGTGCTGACAGCGCACCATTGCAAAGATCACAAGCATCTTTAGGAGGGGTGACAGGAGAAACCCCTAGAAACAGTGAGACTCCCCTGAGCTAAAAACAATGGAGTTGTCATCTCCTTTAAGTCTCAAAGGGTAAGAGGTATCAGTCAGCAGAACTTGAAGGGGAGTCTCTGGAGAAGCCATTCTGAAGGAACTGTGTCACGGACTGAACGCTGTACCCTCTCCGAATGCATATGTTAAGCCTGGTGTAATACTAAACACAAAGAATCCCAGCACCTGGGAAATGGAGATGGGCAAACCAGAAGTTCAGAGTCATCCACAGCCGTACATCAGCCGGTCTCAAAAATAATAAATCAAAATAAATAAAATCCATGTGCTGAAATCCTGGCACCTGATGTAATGGACGCAAGAGCTTCTCAAGAATAGAATTAGTGGCATACAAAGGAAGCTCTTTTGCTATCTTTCTGTCACATAATGACACAAAACAAGATAACAGCAACCCAGGGGAGCTGTCACCAGATCCCCACAGGACTGGCACCCTGGCCTCAGATATATAATTGCTCCAAGTTCTAAGCAGTGGGTATAAGCAGATATGGAGGAAAGGGTGGCAAGTGAGGCTCTACCATCTGTGACCACTCTCAACAGTCAGAACATTTCCATTTTCCATGAGCATGGTACTGCATGCTGTAATGACAGCACTTGGGAGGGGAAGGCAAGGGATCAGGAGTTCAAGGACAACCTGGGATAAATGAGACCCCATCTCAAATATATATTTTTTTCCATTCGGACATTCTTTTATATTTAAAAAATGATATATATCTGGTACTTACTCATTTTTTTCCTTTCCAAAGAAAACTGGCATAGTTTCTCAGACACTATATCACAGAACCACAAAACTGAAAGGGACCACATCAATATCTAATAAAGTGTGTCTAAAGTGTGAGCCAGCGAGTATGATATTTTGAGCCAAAGAAAATAGGTAATGCCCTTGCCACCACATAAACATAAGTTCATCCAGTTCTTGCTGCCTCCAGGCTAACAGGATTGCGGCATTCAAAAATTGCAATTAAAAACAAACTGTGATTCATTCTATAATTTCAAGCACTTGGGGCATAATTTGACCAAGTGACCTCATGATCCCAGAGTGAAATGGAAGAAAACAGCTATGGGCAGCTTGCAGGAGCATCTGACTCAGCTCCACACAAAGCATCCCCTTCATGAGTAGTGAAAGATCTGGAGCATGCATCCCTGTTCATCCAAACCACTAATGAGAAAGTCAATTACCAGCAAACCTTCTCACCCCAAACGTCTTCACTAGAACCCCATGACTGTCCACTCATTCAGCTTTTCTTTTAGTGCTGGACATGTTACATTAACAGTTGACATCACGTGCTTTAGTTAGTATAAAGGTGACTCATTTTGTCTTCAAGTGGACCTTACTCAAAAATGCCAACAGGTGCCATTGTCTCAAATAAGCAAAGCAAGCTAAGGAGCAAAACAGTCAACTCAAAAACCGATGCCAGATGTTTAGGATTTGAGTTTGTTGTTATGTCTACATAAGCACACCTTTCTACACAACAACAACTCTACACAACTATTCAAGTAGGTACAGACTCTCCCGAAGCCATGAGAGGATGCTGGAATGTGGAGTAAAATAGGATGCTTGCTCCATGGTCTCTAGTACTCTGTGTTAGCATGGATTTATATGATGAGAGCGCTGGTATGTAGTATTCTCCAAGCTTATTTGTTCATGGAACCCTGGATATATATATATATATGTATATGTATATGTATATGTATATATATGTATATATGTATATATATATGTGTGTGTGTGTGTGTGTATAGTATATGTACAATACTCTCTCTATATAATAATATCATACAACTTTTAGAAGTGACGCTCTGTGGAATAGTTTAGAAATACTGCTGTTATCTACAGTACATTTATAAAGTAAACCTTTAGCACTTTGACAGCAATAGGACATTAACAGGGGCAGGCTGATTTGAAATGTAGTAAGGAAGAAATCAAACATGAAGAACAAAACACAAGCAGAAGTTAAAAAAAAATCACTCAGAAGTTGTTACGTGTATGACATCATTTATACCGGGAAGAGAGAGTGGGGAGCAAGCTTGTCAAAGACACACAGACGGCTTGGGCTTCAGAGCGTCTTACACGTCAGTGCCTGGAGACAGAGATACTGTCACCGGTAGATGGATGTATGGATCTGGGATCAGGAGTAAGATCCAAGCCAGAGATGAAGATTTGGGGCTCACCATGGCATACACGATGACTATAAAAGCCATGGAGTGGGTTTACTAGAAATAGATAAGTGGACAGTAAGTGCTAAGGTCTGAGTGCTAAGGACCTCGGAGTCTCAGGAGAGACGGAAAGAAAGCTATGGGGAAGGCTGAGGAAGAATGCACAGCGACATGGGAATCAAACCACAAAAGTCAGATGTCCTAAAGCCAAGGAAGAGACATTCAGGAGGGACCCAGCATGAAATGTGGCAGAGAGAGGAATACATGTAGTCAGAAGACCACAGTGCCTTTAACAGGGAGAAGACAGAAATGTTTTCAGCAAGAACGATTTTAGTAAAAGTCATGCACAAAAGAGAACATCAACAAAGGGTTTCTGGCCAACACTGAAAACACAAAACTCTAGGGCTGGAGAGATGTCTCAGGGATTAAGAGCACTGGCTGCTCTTCTGGAGGACCAGTGTTTAATTCCCAGCTCCCACGAAACAAGACACAACCATCTATAACTTCTATTCCTTAGAGCATGGCATCTATACACAGAAAAGTAAAATAAATTAATCTCTTTTAAAATGCAAGGTTCTAAAATTTGAAAGTATTTTCTCTTACTTTCTCTTACTCTACTCTCAAAACTTGGCATTTTCTAAACCTTAAATCGGCTCTCCATGTGTATGTTAACTACAGTCTTTTCTGTTTCATTTGCTTCTTCTCTAGCCTTATGACAATGGTGAGTTTCCTATGACAGAATTTCTGGTCATCATTGGCAATCACACTGTGGGCCTAACTAACATCACAAGGGCAGTCTCAGTAAATCAAGCTTGTCACAGCACTGGGAATCAAGGCACAGAGTTAGAATTGATCAATCATTCTTACATGAATTCCTTCCCCAGCTGGTCAGTATAAACTGTAATGCATGAATGTCATAAAGCCGATGTCTGGCCTTTTATTGTTTTACTAATATGTCTAGGTTTTATTCCTAATGAAGTAAAGACTAATGAAATCAGCACCAAAGGAAGAGCCCAGAGGGCTGCAGTCATCCCTGACTGAGCATGGTGACAGTATGGGAGGGTTCTGGTTTCTTCTTCATAGGCAATTGCAGGTGCTCTTGTTCGTCGTCCCAAACACAGCTTCAGAACTAAGATGTTTTAAGTGTCAGTAAAGGCATTTCTCCATCACAGTTCTCTCTTGTGTTTTATTCTTTCACTGACTTGGCGGGGGAAGAAAAAAAAAATGGAATGATGTCACCCTTCTGTTCCTCCCCTGTTAGCAACAGAAAGAAAACAAGCCAAGAAAAGCATACCAGGCTAGCTCAGGAAGACCAAGAAAATCATTTCCAAATAAATCGTGTCTTCCTGTGATTTAACTTTTTCAGCACACACCTTTTCTTAAAATCCTGTGTACATACGACTTTCAAGTCCTACCAAGAAAAAGTCATGGTGGGGAAGTAGCTTGTTGCATTCTATGTTATTTTCAAAAAAGGATAACAAGATAACAAGAAGAACAAGAAAATATAACATATGTTTGTATGTACAAAGAAAGGAACATACATTTGTGTGTGCCTGTGAGGAGGTCAGAGGTCAACTTTGGGGTTATTCGTCAAGAGTAGTCCACTTGTTGTTTTTTGTGTTCATTTGTTTGTTTGTTTGTTTTTTCTGTGACTTGGCTAGGCTGGCTGACCAGTAAGCATGAAGGATCATTCCCTTGTCTTTGCTTCACAGAGCTGGCTATGGTGACATGGGCCACCCTACTTGGCTTTTCACATGGGTTCTGGGGACTGAACGCAGGTCTGCATGGTTTTGCAGCACACCGTTTACTCACTGAGCTGTCTGCGCGCCTCCTTTTTCAGTACCAGGCTCTAAACATTCTATTACAGCAAGATGGTAGAGCCAGTCAGTCGGTGTGGCGTGCCTGTCCCTCCTCTGGCCTTTTATACAGTCTTAGGTCATTGACTTAACCACACTCTACTTGGTTTTCTCATTTATGAATTAGACGTAGAACAAGTATTTCATAGAGGACTGGGTAAGGAATGTGCAAAGAGCTTAAACTCTCAATAAGCTTACTATTGTCCTTACCGCAGATCTCCAATCTGTAATCATAGCAGAATCACCTCTGTAGTGTTTAAAAGTCCAATAACAAAAGCAATGACCTTGATCCAACTGAATCAAAATCCTAAGGCGTAGATATTAGGGATATAGGCTTTTAAAAATCAGCCATAAAAAAATGGACAAGGAAGTTAATTTCTCGAAAAGAGGAGACACAAGAGTAAATATTCAGTATGGCTAATTATCAAGAGAACACAAATGGATACCAGAATTTTCAACCAGTCACCTCCCACTTGTAGGCCTGCATCATCAGACAAACGAAAGCTGATGAGTGATGTTGAAGATGTGGTAATGGGGCGTTTCTGCACTCAGGATGAGACTGGAAATTAGTACAGCCACTAAGGAAAACCACATGGAGACCCCCATTAAAAACCTAAAAGAATTATCATTTTAAGTCCAGGAGTCTCATTTCAAGAAACTGTGTGTGGCCTCCCCGAAGTATTATCCACAATAGCCTTGGTGTGGAAACCGTTCAGTGGTTCATCATCAGATGAATAAAGAAAGCAGTATAATGGAAGTGGGGGATCATTTGGTCTCTCCTAAGATGCCCTCTGCAACCTCTTGAGAAGCAGGATGGCAACATTGTTACAATAATTGAAATGAGCCAAACCCAGAAAGCAACACGGAGTCTCATACATGAAATAAAGGGGTTAAGCATCTGGCTAGACAACAGGGAGAGAGATATGTTAGTTAGTGGCTACAAAATTTAACTTAGGCAGGATAACTTTTTTGAGATCTAGTACAGAGACATGGCATAATAATAGTACTGTACATAGTCATATAATAATTATTATAATAAATATATACTATATGTCTAATAACAACAACAATAATAATAGTATATTATGTAGTTGAAATTCCTAACAGTAGGTCTCCAATGTTTTTATAAAGTGGGCATGTTAACTAGCTCATTTAATCATTCCACAATGTATACATCTGTTACAATATCACTTTGCAGATACAACTGTAATTTGTAAGCAGACGATCTTTTTAAAAGCTATTCAGGTGACCACAATGAGCTGTCCAAATTGAGAAATCAGGCTTCTGGTGCGTGATCAAGTTCCCTTGAGCCATATGCAAGGCTGCGGAGTTCCTCAGTAGACTTTGTGACAATCTTTCTTTGCCTCTTAATCCAAACTGCCCTTTGTCTTCCATACAGTTGCCAAATTCACTTTTTAAAAGTAGGGCTCTGCTTAGATTATCCTCTTGTTAAATGACCTCTCCCTCACTGATCAAATAAAATTCAAAGCCTTAGCAGGATGTTCGGGGCTCTGGCTATTGTCCCTGTCTCCTGCTTCTTTCAGAGGCAGTCTACCTTCCTGAAAAGGGCATCGGTCCACTTCCCTGTGAAGCATGGGCTTTTCATTTGACACGCCCATGGATCAATTGAGGATGAGTTGATACGGAGAGAGTAGAGAGGGCACAATAGCATTTAAGGTGAACTCTGATTCAATCCAGGGATTCAGTCATCAGTAAGTGTCCCCTGTTTTTCCCAGGAACAAAAGGCTAAGGAGACAAGGAGAGTCCTGTATACCTCGTACTTGGCCTCAGAGCTGATTTAAGGAAGTGTCGTGAGAAGAGCCAGGATGAGAGCAGAGGACAGAAAAGCAGGCTGTGTGATTGGTTCCACCCCAGAGGCCACCAAAGTGCTGATTTACCACGAACTAAATAATTCTTTCCTGAGAGTTCGCCAGAGGGAACTGGGGTCCTGGGAAAACTGGGTATACAGCTAGTTAAGGAGCTGTCCGTCAACGCCTTTTAAGGCAATGTTCTTAAGCATCACACACCACACGCTTTACAATTCTAAGAACCACCAGAATGAAGAAGCTGGAAGGGAAGGGAAACTTGTTCTCTGTGTACTTTCTGATATACCACAAGTTCATAGAAGCAGCAGGCCTACCCATCCTCTATCCTCTCGAAAAGCAAGCCCACACTATCTGAAAGAGATCGCACCATCCAAACATGCCAAGGGCTGCTTTTATTGTGTTTTGTTTTTTAATTTAATTTTTTTTTTTTACTTATCCACTTCACATCCTACTCACTGCCCCTCTCCCTGAAACCCCCTCCCACAATCCTTCCCCCATTCCCCTTCTCCTTCTCCTCTGAGCGGGTGCTCCCCCGATGTGTCCCCCAATACTAGCACTTCAAGTCTCTCCAAGGCTAGGCACTTCCTCTCCCACTGAGGCCAGAAAAGGCAGCCCCAGTAGAAAAACATATCCTACATACAGGCAACAGCTTCTGGGATAGCCCCTATTCCAGTTGTTCGGGATTCAAATGAAGACCAAGGCGCACATATAGTACATGTATGCAGGGAGGCCTAGGTCCAGCACATGTATGTTCTTTGTTGTTAATTCAGACTCTGAGAGCCCCGGGGGTCAGGTTAGTTGACTCTGTTGGTCTTTCCTGTGGAGTTCTTATCCCCTTTGGGACCCACAATCTTTCTTCCTATTCTTCTATAAGCATCAAGGGCTGCTTTTGAATGATAAGTACCTTTGCATTTTTCCTTAGCTCAAAGCGCTGTTATAGTATGATTTTAAAATTCCATAATCAAAGACTTGTAGTCAACTCTCTTCTACCTTACATATTAAGCCATCTCAGTGTTTGATGGCTGTGGAATTTTCAATAACTGTGCATAATCACCAGATCTCCAGCTATCAGAAAACTAGTAACAGTTTTCCCAAGGCCACACAGGATTAGGGCCAAAGCCAAAAATACCCTTGAAATACTTGGCTCTTGATCATGCATTCAGCTCTTCCCAGGGTACACAAAACAAAACTAATGCCTCCCTGAGATCAATACCACACTAAATAAATACAAGGGAAAACTCCCTTGATGTACCTGGCAGCGGGTTTTTCAAAGCTGTAAATCTTAATACAGATCCTTTTAACTCTGTTAGACCTTGACAAGAAAAAAAAAAAGTGGAAGAAAAAAACAAAACTCAAGGGAAGTGTTACTTTAAAAGTATCTAACATAAATTGTAACAACCTTTGGACCTATTTGTGACTAGGCACTTCCCAGGTAACAGAGCTCTTTCACACTGTCTTATCTGTCTTATCTGATAGGTGCTATTCTCACTTTAGTTTTACTCACAAAGAGAGTTTGTTCAAGGTTGCCTAGTTAATCTGCCGTAGTGACTAGCTGGAACTGGCTCTTCTCTTTCCACATCCCATGACCTTTCATCTCCCAAGACTTCAAATGAGGATTGGGTACAGAAGTGTGGTATGATTCCCTTCTCTGTGTCTCTCTCCAATCTTTTCTTGCCTATCCTATTTGCATAGTGTCTTTTGGATCTTCTCAAACTATATTTCTAATCACCGGAGATCCTTTGTTTTGCTACCCCTTTTCCCGACCTAATATTCCTTACTTTTTGTCTTTTGATTTTTTATGGAAGTACTTTTTTTTGTACCCAAAGTAAAGAGGTGACACATAGATAAAAGTAGAGGCAATAGTCTCACATAGTTTGCATTAAAATATTTTGTATTTCTAGGGCCATATGACTAGTCAACACCATGTGAGTCTAATTGGAATGGAGTTAAGGATTACCTGGGTTATTGCATGAAGGCAGTGAATAGTAAGGTTCGGATCGCAAAGGGTCTGTTTTTCAAATAACTATTCTAAAAAATCTGTTCCCAGGTCTGTTGAGGTGGTTCATTGGGCAAAGGTGCTTCTATGCAAACCCAATGACCTATGTACCATCCGTAGAAAGCACATAAAAGGATGGAGAAAACCAACTCCACAAAGTTATCTTCTGACTTCCACACATACACTGTGGCACATATATTCACACAGTAATTATTTTAAATTTTACCTTAATCTAGTTGGGTTCCAAGTTCAAATACTGAGAACTGAGTGGGCAATATGTTCCTCTCCTTTGAACTACAACTGGAAGATTAATATTTACATTAAATATGGAATTTGGAACAATCACTATAAATCATGAGAGAAAGATAACCTCTAAAGAAACTAGTATATTTTTTGAATCAAGTAAGTTGAAACTTTCAGGGGAAAGAAAAGAAAATAGGGAAATAGCTACTTTATCTGCCCTAACAGAGTAAGCTTACTTGTCCTTGGCATTTTTGAGGGATGAAACTATTGGAAAAACTTCAGAGACGTAACATTGTCCTTTTGCAGCCTGAGGAGATAGATGCTGCCCATGAGACAGTGTCTTCGCTGACTGGGATGTAGCCTCAAGGGTGATAGGTGTGATTTAATGAACTCGTGGTTTCTGGCCATTGAGTAAGTCACTTCAAAGTGGTTTTAATGGTAATGACATGTGTGTCTTAGTAACTACAAAATAATATTATGCCAAATCATAACTAGAAAACACCAGTTCTCGGTTTGCGTTTTTTCTTTTTCTTCTTCTTTATCAATACTTTCTTCAACTTTATCTACCCTGGGAAGATCACATCTCTGGGTTTTCGTTTCTTTATCTCTAAAATGAGACATGAAGTTGGATGGTATCTCAGGTCTATTTAAGTTCTAAGGCATTCTGATTCCTCTTCTATTTTCAAAAAACTTTTTCTACCATTGTTTTAAGACTTAAATAGTTTCTAAAACAGTGCCACATTGGCTGGGGTTTGAAAACTCACTGACACACAGGTAAAGAAAACTGATTCATGAGACTGGGTGTACCTCTGTTGTACAACACATACTTAGCGGACACAGGTGCAAGACCCGGACCTCAACTGCCCACAACAGACCCATCACCACCAAATCATCATTCACCACCTACAAGTGGCCCAACTTTCCACAGAAGAAACACATAACATGCTTCATGTATGGTTTCCATTTGTATATTTTAAACTCAAGTGACACTGCATGTTTCAAAACATCTTTATTCCTGCTCAGTTTGTATCACCTCTCGGAGGCGGAGCATGGGCAGAGACGGGGTGGGGACAAGGGCAGGGGGACAAGGGCAGGGGTGGGGCAGCGTAGGGGTGGGGCGGGGATAGGGGCAGGGACAGGTCTTTCATTCTAGAATCAGCATGGACAGAACTTTTGTTAGCAGTGGTGGTGAGTTCCCTCTAAAGAATTAGAGTACTACGCCTCCAAAGCTATTTTTAAGGGTTGCTGGGATGAGATGTGCCATTGCATATCATCCAGTTCCCTCCCATGGATATCAGAGTGTTTTCATTATTATAAACATCATCATAGATGTGTGTGTGTGTGTGTGTGTGTGTATGTGTGTGTGATGAAACCCAGCCACTGCCTGTTGGTTAGCTAGTAATAAAGGAGTTTGAAGTGGTCAAGTGGTCAAGGCTCTTATTTTGTTCCAGATAAATCCTATTAAAGTGGGAAACTGATATAAAAGAAAAGACACTTACCAGCATCTTTGATCCAATTATCATAAAAACGCACAGTCCTCGATGTCAGATCACTGAACGCCATTTTCTACAGGATTCACTGGCTCTCTTAATGGGCTCTTCAGTAAAACAGTGCAGAAATGAGCTTAAGATCTATAAATGCAAATAAAAGTAAGCTTTTAGTAATACAATATTTAAAATGCTAAAAATTTAATAAGAACTGGCAGGGCAACACACTCTTGCTGAAGAGAAAACCCATTAGTGTGTCACAGGAAATGCTGACGCAGTCACAAACACTTGAGATTTTCCATTCTTATGGAGATGCTGATAACTTCACTGAAGAAGGGTGGTGTTTTATGTACATAAGACAAAAGGAAGGAATGGTTCTATGAACTCTTATAGGGACATCCCTCTTCTATGGAGAAAAGGCAGGTCAGGAGCTGGCTGGATCACCATGGCAAAGCTGAAGGAAAAGTCCAGAAGATGGAGAAGATGCCCAGACTTTCAGAGACCCAGGCCTTGTAGTCATCTTTATGCCCAATAAAGTCTTCTTTGTGTGAGCTTTTGAAAATACTTATTCGCCAGGCAGTAGTGGCGCACACCTTTAATCCCAGCACTTGGGAGGCAGAGGCAGGTGGATTTCTGAGTTCAAGGCCAGCCTGGTCTACAGAGTGAGTTCCAGGACAGCCAGGGCTACACAGAGAAACCCTGTCTCGAAAAACCTAATATATATATATATATATATATATATATATATATATATATATACTATTATTTTTAATTATATGTAGTATGTGTATGCAATATATGTATGAGTGCCAGTGGAAGCCATTGGTGTTGAATCTCTTGCAGCTAGGGTTTCAGGCAATGTATGAGTGCCTGTGGAAGCCAGAGGTGTGGAATCCCTTGCAGCTAGAGTTACAAGCAGTTGTTAGTTACTTGACATGGGTGCTAGCAACCAAACTTAGGCTTCTGCAAAAGCAATACACTCGCAACCACCGAACCATTCTCTGATCCTCTAAATTTTTAAATTTTAGTGGTCTCTTGGGATTCCCACAGTATTTTTTAATCATTAAAATGCCATCTACTAGTTTTAAAAACTAATGGAATGAGGCAGAAAGAAGGGAGGAAAACCAATAAGAATCAAGGAAAATTGCCCTGTTGATTCAAACAGGTAGACAAGAATTAATTATGGTAACGAGAAATCTCCTGAGTAAGATGGCCACTGAAGACAACCAGCCCTGCTACATGTGACAAGACACTATTCATTCTTAGTAATTCAGGCAGTAACGCAGTGACAGAGACAAATCAATGGAACACACAGAAATATGTCAAGTACATTTATGAATTTAAAAATGTATGTTAGTAATTCTGAAAGGTATGCTCTTCCACACTTTAAAATCTTGGAATCAAGCTACAACCTACAAACTGAAGATGTGTCATAAATTAATGGTGTAATGAATGAAAACCATCTGGTGAGAAGACTGGAGATGTTCTAGAAGCGGATGATCATACAACAGTATCAGTGTGCTCCATGCTACTGAATTTGGTTGAAAAGGTAAACTTTGCATTATGTATATTTTGTTATACACACAAAAGAAATTCCCTAAGTTTATCGTAGGAAATTTGACTTTTTCCTGGCAGTATAAAACAGTTATTTCATTTGTATAATTACAGAAATAAAATAAGGCATGCAACATGTGAAAAGGGTGACATCTCAAATCAGTGGACATTAAATTACTAACAGCCGCTCAACAAATGATGATACAGCTGGGTAGGCATCAGGAAACAAAACAACAGCAACCAAAGGCTCCCTGAATCTGTCATGAGACAAATTCGAACTCCAAATGGATAGAAACTTAGACGACAGCAATGGAGATTGCAAAACCTCGATGCGAGAAAGGCCCTTCTAAGACTCAAACTTCGGACACCAAAAAGAAGACTAGCAAGTTAGCCATGGAAAAGGAAGAGAGGAAGGAGGTGCCGAGATGAGAGAAGGCTAGAGGAGTATGGAGAATACAAGGAATTGGTAGCTGTGCCGAGCTGCTGAGAAAGGACTAAGGAGCGAACAGTCAATACTGGGCAGTGGGTGGGAAAGTCGTCCCACTCCCAGGTGAGGGACTGCAGCAGTCCCTCGGAGTTTTGGTTCAGAGGCCGGGGGGAATCAGATGGAATCTCTGTCTACCCCTCCATCTCCCACCACCTTTGCTTCTTGGTGAAGAGAAGGCCTCTAGAAGGGTATGAGGGAAATTTCCACCCGGAAGTTAATCTGTGTGTTCGGAGTGTTGTACTGTTGGCTGGAGGTAGCTTTTCATCTCATGTATACCCTTCGCAGAAGCAGAAACAAAATTCTAAAGAGGTCTGTACACTGGACAGAAAAGATCTGGGGCTTCAGCTTGTTCTTTATCAAAGATCTGGAAAGATCAGAAACTCAGAATATGAGGGATGGCTACTCCTAGCACATTCAAAGCAGGATTTCTCCAACTTGACAATGCTGATATTTTGGGTCAAATATTTCTTAGTCATGGGGACCTACTCTGAGTATTATGGGCAATTCGAGACAACCTGGCTTCTATCTACTAGATTCCAGAAACCCCACTTTGTGGTTGAGACAATCAACCTCATCTACAGCAATTATCAAATGTTCCCCTGTGGACAAAAATGTCCAAGGTTTACGGTAATTATCTAGATCACCATGCTTTCGCCAGACTATACAGCAGCTTGCCTCAGGGTGAGCACTTGGCAGCCCTGTGCTTGTTTAGTGTGAAGCTGTTCAAAATAATATGTGAGTTTTCCCTTACAGATTAACTTCAATGTTTTTCAGTTGGAAGTTACTATGGAGATTCTGGGGATTGAACCTGGGTTCTCTGCGAGAGCAGACAGAACTCTTAACCATGAGCCATCGCTCCAGCTCAGCATGGTGCAAATACAAGACTCCTCTCCCATTACCTTGGTCTTGCATATGCTTCTTGTAACTTGCTGAGATTTCAAGAGAGCCACTCACTGTAGTAGGTATCTATCATCCTCAACAAATACAAATTAAGCTACAGAAAAAACTATGTTCTTCTAATCAGACAAAATGGAGTCTAAGTAAAAGTTGTCATGAGATATAAAGGGGTCAAGAAGATAAAGAGTCAAGTTCATCATGAAGTTATAAGAAGGGCTGAGTGGGGCAGAGTCTTTATTTACTACACATGAGTTCCTGGGTGCCATGTCCAGTATCACACGAGAAGGAGGAAGGGAAGGGGAGAGGGCGAGAGAGATGCAAATAACACCCCAGCACTAAAAACATAACACAAATCCCAACAGATTTAAAGAGAACAATGGACAGCAATATAAAAATAGCAGAAGATTCCAGTCTACACTTTTGAACAACACATCAATCACCCAGACAGAAAATTAAGACAAAGAAAAAGAAAAGAAAAGAAAGAAAGAAAGGAGGAAAGAACTTGTAACCAACACCACAATGCACATTGTTCTCAGGCAACAGAATATACCCCAGGATAGACCATATGATGAGTCACAGAACAAGGGTAAGAAATCTAAGAAGACTGAAACCACAGCAAGTCTCTCTCCCAACCACAATGTTATGAACCTAGAAATCGATAGCAGGAGACCCAGAAGATTCATAAATATGTAGAAAGGAAACAGCCTACTCCTGAACAGTGAATAGGTCCAAAGGAAATCAGAATGGAACTTGAAACTACTGTGTGGCAAATGAAGACAGAAAAAAAAAAAAAAACAACTATGGGGCATAGCAACTCTAAGAAGAGACTTGTTACACTCTGAATATGAACTGACTACCACAGGATCATGTGTTTGATCAGATGGTCCCTGATAGTCATGCTGTTTTAAAGGCTGTGAAATCTTTGTGGGGGTGGGGTCTAATTGGAAGAAATGAGTCATTGGGAAGCACTCTCTGTTTTGTGACTGCTCATGTGATAGCTAACTGGAGGTCCCCGTGATCCTGCTACTGTAGAATCACCTACACCAAGCCTATTCCACCACGATGGACTGTACTCCACCTGAAAAAAACCACCTCCTTTAAACTGTGTTGTCAGGTGTTTGGCCACAGCAATGAGAAAAGTACCTAATACAAAATTGTGTAGTAACAGATGCCTGCATTTAAAATGAAGAATTGTGTCCCATAAAATATAACCATAACAATTAAAGAAGAAGAAATCACAAATTTGTGAGGAAGTGGGGGGGACATGGAAAGAATTGAGGGGAAAGTGGGAAAGGTAGAAACAGTGTAAACACAGTACTCACATATGAAATTTTCAACAGAAGTTAAATTAAAAAACAAACAAACAAATGTTCTACAGCAAGGAACTTGGAAACAAAGATAAGATAAACCAATAATAATCAAAAATTAGGTCCAAAATCTGCAGGATGAAGTGATACAGATCACCTTAGAAATGAGCAGAATGTCTCTACTTGAATAACAAAATACAATGTGAAATAGAAAAACAAGTTGCATGAAAAGTTAAAAGATACAAAACCTTTTTCTAGTGAAAAGTCTCAAATAAATTAATTTAGAACAGGAAGGACAAGGCATTACTAGAGATGTCAGGTAAATTTTGTGGAGTAGGTTAGTGCACCTCATGTGTATTCTACATTTATTTTGGTGGTTCCTGAACATGAATGATTCAGACCCATAGAGACAGAGATTTGGATACAATAAAAGTAAGACACCACCCAAACTATTTGGAACAGGCATAAATTATACCGACAGGATTCAATTAATAAAAGTCACCTGGATATGGAAGGCATTGGAATCCGGGTGGAATAGAAGGCGTCACTGATTCTGGGCAAGATTAATCTGATGATTCAAGAGAATTTGTGTTTGATAGAAGATATATGGGTACCACATCCACATCCATGGTATAAAAAAACTGGCTCCTTGTTTTAGGAGTGAAATGTGAGGTCCTCAAACACTTGTGAGAGAGAAGTCACCACTACATCTCAGTTCTCAGCGCATTTCAGAAAACTAGATTGTAAGTGTGGTTGTTCAGGCAAACAGAAACACAACAGAGTCAAATATATATATATAAAAAAAAGATTAAACACCTAGCCTTCTATTTTTCAAATGAAAATGCCATTGAATCAAGGAAAATCGCTTGCTATAAGTAACAGAGCAATCAACTGTAAAT